GCTCCGCTGCTTACTAGTGTTCTGCTTATAATTTCCCTGAATCAATTGTTTAAAGTTTAGAAGCTATATTTGCTAATTTCCTTTGGAAAGGGAAACTTCATGCAATCAACTGGAAGGAGGTTTGTAGACCAAAACAGGAAGGGGGGTTTGGACTAAGGAAGTTGGATGATCTCTGTCGTGCTGCTGCTTTAAAAATGATATGGAGACTACTTAACAATTCTACACTATGGACTAACTGGATGAATGCCAGATACATCAAAGGGAAATACTTTTGGGATGCTCCAGTAAATATATTGGACTCTGGAACTTGGAAGCACATAACACGCCTCAAATCTACAGCTTTGTGTTGTATTAGAAAAAGTATTGGCAATGGTGAGACTACTTCTCTATGGTTTGATCCATGGATTCATGAAGGCAGAATTATAGATATCCTTCATAATTTTAACCCACAGCTCACAGGCACAGGAAAATGGTCTGTTTCTCTTATCATTTACAATTCTCAATGGCACGTTTCGCTTCCATGTCTTATCCCACTGAAGCAATCTATATCTAATATTCAAATCTCTGGCCAGGAGGATCAATGGTCTTGGCTGCCAAATCCTAATGGTATTTTTTCTTTTGCTTCTGCTTGGGATCAGGTAAGGACTATCTATTCAAATTTTGACCTATACAATGTGGTTTGGTTTCCTTACTCTAATCCTAAGATGGCTTGCTGCTTGATTAAAAGCTTACATAATAGATTGGCTACTAGAGACAGACTGTTCAGATTTGGGATTTCCTCGACTGAAGATTGTGCTCTCTGTTCGGGTATGAAGGAGTCTAGAGATCATCTATTTTTCCAATGTCCTTTTTCCACTTATATCTGGAAACTCTGTAAACTGAAGGTGCAAATTGATGCTACGGTTATTTATGACCTGAGAACTGAAGCAATAGAAATACAAAATAAATTCAAGGTGAAAGATAAAGCTTATATTTTGGCTAGATTGGTTTTGAGTGCAACAGTCTGGCATATTTGGCAAGAAAGGAACCGCCGAATCTTTCATGATCAGTAGATGCATAAGATTATGGTGTTTAGAAGACTATATAAGGACATCAATGTATTATTCCGAACCTGCTTCTGGAAGTCTGGAAACAATGTCATCCTAGCTAATTGGGGAATTGACCCCGGTTATCAGTGAAAATTTTCTTCCTTTCAAGTGTCTAGGAGCTATTTTGATTGTGTTAGTGGTTGTACAAATTTGATTGTTTGGCTTTTGGTCATTTTGCTTATCTTTCTAGAATGCTTAGTTGAGGGTGACAGCCTGGGTCCTCTCCCCTCTCTACAATTTCTTTAATTAGATGATAGTTTGACTAGCCAATTCTTATACTTATGTACTTGGTTTTAGTATCAATGAAATTACTTACTTTTCAATATATATATAGGATGGGGATGTGACACATCACTACCAAGCATAAAATTTGTGCTTGGTACCAAGCATACCCATATTTCTCTCTCTCTATATATATATACATAAATATATATATATACTCCACTTATTCAAAAGGGGGACCATATTAACGTGGATTAGGGAGTAGATGGTAATATGACACCTCACTACCAAACACAAAATTTATGCTTAGTATATATGAGAAAAATGTAGGAACTTGGTACCAAGCAAAAATTAGATAATCAAAGCCATGACCTCGTCCACTAGCTCCAATATTTATATCCGCTTCCACATCTGTGGACTCCTCGGCCATGACCTCGTCCATCACTTGCAAGAAGCCAGGTCCTTCGAAATAATCAACCGACTGAGATCTCATCCGACGTATGAGGTGGGGCCCTTCTTCTTCCTCCTCCTCCTCGAAAGTTGCACCTGGGAGTTCAACCGACATCTTGTTAGGATAAGTGAATAAAACCTTCATCTTCGGCTTCCTCAGAGCTGGCGAAGGTTTAGGAAAGTTGGATCGGTGAGCTCGATTAGCTATCACTAACTCAAATAATTCTAAGGAAAGGGCATCCGACAGACCTGTTCTGAGCTCCTCTTCGTCACCACTGACTGCGGTCTCTTGGCTACCCGCAATATCAGTTTTTGAGACTTCTTCACCAGAAGAAAACATAGCCTCTTTCGGCTTCTCCTGGCTAGAAGGACCTACATGTTCTTTTCTCCTTCTTTTCTGGTACTCAACATCATATACCATCCGAGTAGCAATCCGAGCCGCTTCTTTGGCTACTAATTCTGCAATTAGCCTTAGCGGGACGGGTTCGTTCGCCACCAAAAGCCACCGACAGTACAAGAAAGTCAATTCCAACCGGCATTCAGCACTTCGAAGGCTGAACCGAGCACCAGTACAACTCGTGATGCTCCATATCTAGGCCCGGGCACCATATACTAGTCCACCGTGAGTTTAAAGCTGTCGATTCGAATTCCCAATATATATCTGGTTATATCCAAGCTGATGGGTGAACCGACATGGTAGGTACGGCTCAATGTAACAATGGTTCCTCACTTAAAAAGTCAGGTAACCGGGTCTGATATTTATTAACCAGTCGAAGCAACCGACATTGAGGCAAGTTTGACCTATTCCCGGAGTCTCTACATCAATCAACGACTCACCATACTGACCTGAAAATCACAGAAAACAAGTAGGGAAGACCCAACACTTCTGATTCTTTAGCTGCCTCTTGATTTCTGAAAATCCTCATCCTTTCCATTTACAGTTCTCTATCAGTTAAAGTAAGGGTATAGACTGATCCGTAGAAGCTGGGGCCGACATCATATCAGAACAATGGAGGACAAACCACGCCATCAGATATGTATAAGGGAGCTCCACCTTGGTGAGAGGGATCTGATCCGATGGTGTGCCCTCCCCTTGCGTGAACACATTCACTATCTGTCGAAGCCCTCTGTGAATGTCTTCAACCATCGTCAAGAGGAGACATAGATTCTTTCGATGGGTGAGCAGGACGGCAGGATAAAGTACCTCCAGGAGCAGAGCGTCAGTAGATTGGTATGGCACCACACATTTCTTCAGCCAGATTGCGAGGTAGCTAGCTAGCAATGTCATCGGCTGGATGGGCGGCTGGATGGGCTTCACCGCCTGCCATAAGAAAGTCTGGAACTTACTTCCTATAGGGAAATTATGTTCGACGCTGATAGTAGTGAAAGACCAGGCGTTAGACTTCCTGATTAGCTCGTTGACTTCTGAAGGGGTTAGCGGCGTCAACTCATATATCACCTTACCCGAGCTGCTATCCAAGTTCCTGAACAAGTAATCCACAAACCTCTTCAAACTTATCTATGGTCGCGGCTTCTTCGACAATGTATCGGCACTTGCTAAGGCTATCTGGTAGTGACAGATGAGATCCCACAGAGTATTGTAGCGGTTGGGCGACCGTGACTTCAATAGCTGCAGTTCCCGGTTAGAAGGGAAGTATTCCTAATATACCATATTTCCCATCGGTAGACCAGAAACCTTATGCATCTCATGGAGCGCCAACCCTAACTCTCCGTACTTAGTGAGAAAAGTGTTCGTATCGGGGTCACAGAGCTCTAGCAGCGCTAAGAAATGAGGAACATTGATTGTCAGTCCATACATTGTGGCGCAGATAGCCACGTACAAACCACTAGCCTTCAGCTCCTCATCCTATCGGTTATGGACATAATTACTTAGAGGAGTCCACCAGAGCTTGTCTGAAGAGTGAACCTAGCCGTAGCACCGGTGACCTGTCACAAGCATCTCCCGCCCAAATCTTGTGAGACAGTTCTTTAAGGTAGTGGCAATGGTGAAGAGCTCACCTCTTGGCGGGTCGTTCAGCCCTAATACACCCGGATGCAATCTGGTTATATAATTCCTATCGCTTGAGCCAGGAACGGCTTGGGGCTTGGGGGGTGATATACCCACAATGAACGTGGTCGTGCTCCTCTGTCAAGCCCCACGACATCTCTCTCGAAATGGCCTGGCACCGCGGTTCGGTTAATGAGCGGTGGCGAGAAATCGGAGGAAGATATAAGTATCCACTATCATCATGATGCAACCATTGTTCGGCTCCAAGAGGCACGGCAGTCGGGTCTTCCACAGAGTCGCCAAATAAGTAATCTGGCTTCTTCAGGGGATGCGTGGAGCTAGGATCCTTTACTAAGGGCACGTCTATAATCAACTGTCTTAGAGTGTGGCGCTCTCCCTTCCACACCAGTTGGGGAAGTTCCTCAGGCGCACCCGGATTGGGGAGCCATTGGTACAAGAATTGGCTCATCAGTAGAGGCATAAGCCTCACTGCAGCGACGTTCCCCCGCATGAGCATTAAATGCCTTCGGGGGAAACTTGACTGAGGTAAACAATATGCGATTATTAAATACAGTCATAAATACCTATGTGGAGGTAGTATAGGCATTAAACTCACCTCACGAGCTGTGAGACAGAGTCACGACCTTATAAGTGGCGAGACAATCTCAATCATATCACGCACGTAAAGGACAAGACATATTACCGCGCGAACGATGCGATGATATACCCTAGCCCGCGTGACGTGACACAACATGAGATCACCTCATATTGACTTAAAACGTGTTTCAACCAAGCAAAACATAACTTTTGAAGAGTCCACCCCCACGAAGGAGGGTGGCGGCTCTTCCCAATTGCCTCACAAAGGAGAGCAAAGCGAGGATATCATACCGGGTACATAGTCATGATGACTTTTTAAAGGGAAATAAAAAATGGCTTATTAACTAGCCGAGACGATTAAGAGCTGCACTATACCCATGAAGCACGGGATATATTATCACACGAATAACGCGACAATATACCCGCCCTCCAGAATATAGTAAAGTAGAAAATCGCCCCGAGTTAATTCAGACATGTCTTTACCAAGCAAAACACATCTTGTGAAGTGTCCACCCCCACGAAGGAGGGTGGCCGTTATTCCCAATTGCCTCACCAAGGAGATCAAAGTGGAGTGCAATATGCAGTATGATATATTAATATTGAGTTCATGAATAAAAGAGGCAGCGAAAGTTTACCTATGCAAGTAAAAGGTGCTGGCTCAGGCGATTGAGTCGCCGAACGACCCCTCGGGACACGTAACCTCTTTGGAGACATGACTAATCTGCAAAGAAAATCAATGGTTCAATTATGTCGAGAAGTGAATACAAAAAGATCGTGCAACAAATCAAGCCAAATATCTCAGAGTTTCAGTTCAAGACATGCACGTTGCCAAACAAGAAAGCTCGACGTGCCTACAAATCCAGTTCTCGTGCATGACTAAAAGCCCAAGGATCGCAAGCCTAAGTTTGGCCAAATTCACGCATACAAGGGTTCGGCCATGATTACAAGTCTCAAAGGGTTTCCGTTATATCCCTCGCACAATTAAGTTAAGAGCTTCAATTCATGTTTGGGAATAGAAGCAAAGGGTGGATAAAAGCTCAATTCTTACACAATGGTTAAGCTAAGGGGTAGGCTCTGATATCCAAGTACAAGGTCTCAAAATTCCCCTCAAAGCCAAAAATCAAAATGCAAGAAGATGAATCAAAGGCACGCAATCATGTACCCAAGTCCAAGAGTTTCGGATCTCAAGATTAAGTTAACCAATTTGGTTAGCATCCAAACCGAAGTCAAATCTTCGACAATCACCTGAAGTTCAACTAAATGAGTGAAATGAAGAGTTCGATTGCCATACAAGTTCTCACACAAAACCAAGCAAAGAAGCTCAATTATCATGCATAACCGAGATTTAAAGATCAATTCTCCCATTCAAATTTACAGGTTTTGGGACACCTTCGAAGCCAAGGGTCATGGAGACTTCCAACGAACTAAAAAAAAGAAATAAATGGTTCAGCCATGCCTAAGTTCAAAGATTAGAGCCTCGATGTTTTCCTTGAATTGAGAACTTGATTTAATTCTTGTTCATAACCAATAATTCTCACAACCAAAGCCAAATTCGAGCTTAAGTTTCGGTTCACTTTTAAAACTAAAAGGAAAAAAGAGTTTGTCGAAGCTCTAGAATTAGTTACTTTTTTGAGACATGAGGCATGGGTTTACCTCGATCAAAGAGGTGAAGCTTGAGCAATTTCTAAACTCCTAAGAAACAAATTTCGAACCCTGTAAAAAAAAAGACATCTCTTTAGACCCAAAGTTCGGCTATCCCCAAAACACAACATAGGGTTTCATTTTTTTCCCTAAGAACTAGTGCCCAAGGTTGAAATCCAAATGAAATTGAAAATATAGACGTACCTGGAATCAAAGGTGGATGAATTCGGCCACGGTTAAGAGCTCGAACTTGAATTCTGGTTCGAACCCTAGGTTGAAGTCCCTTAACCTCGTCAGAATTGAAGAAGTGGAGGGGAGAAGAACTTGAGGAAAATCCCTTTTACGAAGAACAGAGAAGAGTTCGAATAGAAGAGGAGTTTTAACCTCAAGGGGGAAACCAAATTAGGAGGAAATTGGGAAACGATTGAAGAAGAAGAAGAAAAGTCAGATTTTTGGACTTAAAAAGAACTCAAAACAGGCCCTTGAACCGAACCCAAGTTGACTTGAACCGATCCCCACATATAAACTAGTAGCTCGCACGTGTACGATCCACCAAAAGCTGGCTCACACACGTGCGAGCTACGAAATGCTGGCTCGCACACGTGCGCCACGAAATGCTGGCTCGCACGTGTGGTGAGCCTCGAGGGTGCTTCGCATATATTTTTGCCCATTTTGAGTATTTTTGATGTATTTGGCACCCTTATTTGTACTCTAATGGGTATATGAGTCTAAACTATTTCATACCATCGACGGGAAGTTTCTGGAGAATATTGCATAGAATATTCTTAAAGATAACCCAACGACCTCCAACGGGTATATGAGGTTAAACTAATTCCCAAAACTCCTAGGAGTATACGAGTATAAACTGGTTCTCCTCGCTCCAACACCTTAAGAGCTGAAATTGTGAAGACTCTAGTAAAAGTACGAGTATAAACTATGATAACGCCGGCTAACGCATTACAGTAAAGGTCGATACCGATTAACGCATCGATAATTTCACCATAATAAGGCTAAGAAAAAAAATCTAGGTTAAAGAATGATGCCAAAGTGTTCAATCACATTCAGATATGAATTCCTAACAAAGATGATCAGTACAAAGCCAACTCAATGGCATGAGCTAAGTTCAGAAACTTACACACAATTTCAGTTCAAGACTTCAACTAACAATCAGACGATAAATGCAGCACCGGAAGAACTTTATCTATTCAACAAAATACTGAGTAGACTGAAGACTAAAGAAGTCAAGAGCTAAAGCCAATTACATGTCCTTTCACACCGACTGAAGGTTGGGCCTATCACATCCAAAGCATTTCAGTCTCTTCTATAAAAGAAGCAAGATTGAAACACTTTGAAGGGGGTATCTGTAGATGTCAAAAATTACTTAATAAGTCCCCAAACACAGCTCGAGATGAAGAAAAGACGATGAATGTTATTATTCGAGATGGAGAGAACACAATTTTAAACAGGCTGATAGTGTGTTATCAGTCGACTAATCAGTCGACTGATGATTTCAGTCGACTAATCAGTCGACTGATGAATATGCCTAGAATCTTCATTTTCTCTCTGCTTTGTTTTAGTCGACTGATGTGTCGACCGATGTCCTGTTTACAGTTTCCATATTTTTAGTTTTTTGACCAGTTTATAAAATAAATTATTCCTCTTAAATAGGAAGTGATATTGACAAAATTCTTTCTCTAACATGTTCACATGTATGTTTAGAAACTTCCCTCAATATTTCATGAATTTTGGAGTTGATTTACTATGTCAAATTGATTTTACAAAGTCGGGTGTTTCAGCAGTTTTCAGAAACTATAATATCTGTGTTCAAACATTTATTTCTCTCAATCGGTAAATGCATGAAGCGAATCGGTGAAGCGTACAAGTCAGCGAAGCGACGAAACACGTGTAAAGGCAAAACAAGCGCAAACAAGTGAACCGAAGGGGCTGCAAAACAAGCGAACTGAATGGTCCTTGTTTTGGAGAATCCTACGAATCCCAGCAAGGTATTTAACAAGCCATTTTGAATGTTCATACCTTTGAAGCAAGGCAACATTCCGACTACTAGGCATAGTGGCTGACATCAATTGATGACAGTGTTGAGTGAACCATATTACCAAATAGGTATATGGTAGCTCCACCCTAGGATTGGGTACTTGATTCCTCGAGCAACTGTCCTCCTGCTTTAGATATTTAGTGGCCAATTCCCTTAGGCCATGATGAATGCAGCCTATCATCACCAGTAGAAGAGGTAAGTTGTATCGAGAGGCCAACAACACAGCAGGGAATAACACCTTAATCGAGATGCAATTTTTTGGCTGAGAAGGCACAACACAACCCTTCAGCTAGATCGAGAAGAACCCTGAAAACAATGCCAACTCAGATATTAGCTCCTTTGCCTGATAATGGAAACTCTCAAACTGGTCATTGACATGAAACCCGTACAAGTCAAAGTCAGTAGTATGCAATACAGAGCCATCCCTAAAGATGTGAGTCCCAACTTCAACATCTATGGCTGGAAGGATCGAACCCATATTTCCCTTTTTACTAACATTAGGAAATAAATACTCTGCCCTAGGAACACGAGGTATGATATGGTCATGACCAGTGTTCTCGGTAGTCCTCTGGTAAATGAGTAAGTGGCAAACCAGTTCTCTAAAAGCCTCTGTAACATGAACGGTATCAGATTAAGTACTCAACTCCATGTTCATAAGAAAACACTCTTTGTACAGACGATCGCCCATCGGTAAACGAGACACTTCAAACATCTCGTGAATAGCGATCCAAATCTCCCCCACCGGATTGAAGAAAGTATTGTTGTCACCGTTGTAACGCTCTAGGATGCCATACAAAATCGGTGCACAAATCTCAGCACCGTACTTGGAGGCTCTAACTGTAGTATAGAGCCCTGATTCTTGCAATCGTTCCTCAAAGATGATGCGAGTGAAGTCTACCAAACGATTCCACCACTAGGTATCTGTCAATCTAACCCAACCGGGGAATCTTGCATCCCCATCCGGATACTTGGCGTTGATTTTGATAAGTTCATTCCCAAAGGTGTTTGGGATAATAACAACTTCATTAAGCGGCGCATCCTCATTCACGAAGCTTGGACGCTATCCTATAATGCTAGTCTCGTAAAGTCCTTCTTGATAGAAGCCGACCCATACTTCAGAATGCCTATCTTGATGCTATCCTCCCTCTTTGTGAGGTTAAAGCGCATAAAACAAGGCATAGGAAGACGCTGCAAAAACAAGAAGGAGATTTGATGCTCTATCGTTGACAAAACAAATTAACGATCCCCCTGAGCGTAATACCATTATTCCTCCCCACAGTGAAAGAAAGAGTTGCCTCAAGGGACACCATCTTTAAAGAGGAAATGCGATTTCACCAACACATCTTCATGAGGCACGGAGAACTTTACATCGGTAATTATCTCCCGCAAAGTCTTATAGCTCCCCGTGTGAATGACCTCAATCATTTCATGACTACTGCCGTCAAGATACAATGGAATGTTCCCGTCAAAAACATGTGTCACCTCAGGATCATGAGTCCCATCATGACCAAAATGATTGTGACGATTCACATGAGTTCTTGAATTAGCAACTGCAAAAAGATGACAGAATGAGTTAGCGGACGAAGACTAAGTGCAGCCGTCATACTCAAGAGCAGAGGCGAACCTCGCTCACAAACGAAAGTCATCTATATCGACTAAACGCCTACAAGAGTAGGGTACATCCTTTGATTACCCAAGAGTAGGGTACATCCTTTGATATATGGCATACATGATATGGCCCATGGTGATTTTTGAATTGGGTGATTCTTATTTTGTTATTGTGCCGGCTACCCGATGGTAGTTCAAGATGTGACATATGGGTCTATATAGTTGAGGTTTAGAACACTTTCTTTTGATTGTTGTTTTTATTCATAGAGTTGGAATTGATATTTAGGGATTCACAATTTGAGACATGGTATATACATGAGGGTTTCCATGTTTGGATTATTTTGCTTGATGTGCTAATTCTCGTGTTGTGGATTTCTAAATACTAATCTCCAATTAGAATTATATGAATGATTTTATACTTATATGTACTAACTCTATTTTCTTATATACTCCTACCCCTTACCATTGGGAGCAATGGAGATGATCTCGCTAGTGTTTTGACGCTTGTTGTTTCCCCTCTTTTCAAGCAGCGAGTCTAGCGCACAGAGAGTCGTAGTTTGATGGGATTGCATCTTAGATTACATCTAGATGTTATTATATTTGTAGTTATTTCAAAACTCCACATTTAGTTGGTTTTTATCAGACTCTAGACTTGTATTTCATTATGTAGAGGCTGAGTGCCTTAGTGAGATTTTATTTGACTCATTATGTTGAGATTTATTTCAGACTCAGAGATATTTTCATTTTATTTTAGTTAGGCTCATTTATTGATTATTCTTACGCTTCTTCTGTGCATATATGATCTTGTACTATTTCTATTATTTGCTTGTTTTATACCTTCATCTATTTGTTGACTCTTCTAGAGAGATAGTGACCATAATGGTGAAACATGTCGTAGCATGATGCTGGTGCTTGGCATGTTTGACAATCTGGGTTTCACCTTAGACTGCAGCCATATGTGAACCCTAAGCTGAGTAAGGCTTTAACTCAGTTTGTTTGAGACGTCCTTTAGCAAATTGACTCATGCCAACACAAGCAAGTTTGAGCTTCGCTTTCAAATATGATGACTCCATGCATAGATCGAGCTATGCAGGGTTTAAATTCGCTACAGAAGTGCGAGCAGATCAAGCGCACAAAAGATGGACAATTTCAAAGTGAAGAAAAGTTTATTTTTATTGATCGAAGACTCTACTATATGAAGGTAACATTCAACACTGCCCAATTATAAGGATGATGGGTACTTGTTGCTATTTGCTACTGCCTTATATTCCTAAGATATGGGTAATGTGATGCTTGAGGAACGGATGCCAACTACACAAAACTATATCCCTTGTTCCTTTGACGTTACATGACTTGGGGAACTAAACGTTTCCCCATGAAGATAAGAACTGCCCATATTCCTCTAAGTGAGGCATATCAATGAGAAGAAGCACGTTCTTATATCAAAATTCGACGCCGGGCCTGAGTCAGCCACATGACGTCTAATTGCGATCTAGGATCACATTGGTGATACCAAGTTACTGTCGGAGTCTTCACTCGTGGAGATCTAAGGATCTTTATTCAAGCTCCATTTTAGTTGCCAAACGGTCTTATGCAGAGCGAGGCACTCGAAACTCCACACATCTCTATCATGAGTCGGCTCACCCTGAGCAGCCGACAGATTCTCGATGATCCGCTCGAGCATCTCTTTCTTAGCCAACAGCAACTTTGCCAGGCGACGTAGTATGCGGAGTTCATCTGCTTGTTTGCCCTAAACTTGGGCTAACTCCTGTTGGTGTCTTTTGATTCCAGCTCCTCTGTCGAGGAGCATCTCCGGTGT